ATGTATATATATATATAGGAAACAATGAGAAATTTTTATTTCGTTATGATGGATTTTCATTGAAATATATAATTTTAATAGATGATCGATTATTTAATTGCTACGCGTATCTCAATAATTTTTTTTGTCTTTCAATATTTTTCAAAATTATGGAATTTCTCGCAATTTCTCTCGTCTCGTCTCGTATCGTCTCGTCTCGTATCGTCTCAGACGATTCTTCTGATGTTACGGAGCGAAATGAAGGGCTCGCTCGACTGAAATCCCTTTATTTTTCACGATAGAGCGAACAGGAATAGGAAGGCACTGAAAAAGAATTTCAGTGAAGGTACGAAGTATACGAAACCCTTTAAGAGACCACCGTCCGAAGAACATCTTGCCATTTCTATGTTTCTCTTTCGAAATAAAGATCACAATTCGCGCTCTATTCACGATCAAATTAACACCTCTTTTTATTTCTGTATTTTCTTTTTCTTTTTCTTTTTTTCTATTATTTATTATAATTTTTCCTTTTTTAACATTTCTTTTGCTTTTTTACTCTACTTACTCTTCTTCCAGATTAAGCTTTTCAAATTAAAAAAATATTCAGATCCTATTATTTACTTTTTACCGTCTCATTTTTCTCCATTTCTACATTCGTATATATCTATACGATAAGAGAGAAGAATGAGAGTCAGAGTCGATATAAAAAACTATTATTCTGATCGTGATCTTTTCTTTTTCTTTTTCTTTTCTTTTTTCTTTTTTTAACGAACAGACGAACTATTCTTCGTTATTAAATGATCGCTCGACGAAATATTAATAATACTTTTAATAACTTTGGCTACTCGAGTAAAAGTATATTCTGTAATATTTTACCGTAGCTTAATGCGCTAAAAAAAGGAAAGAAAGAAGAGAAAGAGAGAGAGAGAGAGAGAGAGAGAGAGAGGGAGAGAGAGAGGAAGAGAGAGAGGGAGAGAGAAAATTTGACTTTCGCAAAGATAATAACTTTATTGCGTCAATAATCACAGGTGCAAAGAAGTCCGTCGTCCGATGTGTCCAATGCATATATAACCTTTAAAAGTTACGTTTTTCGATTGTCTGATATTATTTATATTTGTTGAATCATCGTAGAAATGAATCGTAGAAAGAGGAAAAGGTAGATAGAAATGAAAAGGAAAAAGAAAAAGAAATAATAATAAGAGATAAAGAAGGGGAAAGTACAAACGGACCAAAGCGTATCGATGGGGCAACGAAGTTCGCGACTCGACGGGAAGTCTTACTCATAACTTTCCATAATTTCCTCGTGCATTTTCTATCGGGACTCCTGCTTTAAATTGCGAACTGATATTGGCATACCAGAAAATTTACAGCGAATAGTTCAGGTCGTTTCGTACCAGACTTCGCATATATATACATATATATATATATATATACATATTAATATAATATATATATATATATATATATATATATATGTATACATTAATGAAAGGTTCTTCATGATTGATACGAAGTACCTCGTTAGTACGTTCTAATTGGCTGAAGTCATGTATTTCGTGGAATGAAAAAATAAAATAAAATAAAAGAAAAGAAAAGGAACGATATTTTGTCGCATAGATTTTAGATCTATTCCGAATACGATTTATGATTAGAACAAAAACCAATCAGTTTAGAATATTTTTATCGATCGTTTACGATTATAAAGGATAATGAAATACTTTTGGATAAGATGAAAATAATTTAAGAACGTTTCTTCTTTTTTTTTTTTTTTTTTTTCTTTTTTTTTTTTCCTCTCTCTTTCTATTTTTCAGAATGCGACTGGGTTTATGAGAACACTGATTGTCACGACGGATGCGTTCTAGCTAGTCCAGGATATCCTGGCCTATATCCGCCGAACATCCGGTGTCGGTATCTCATAACTTCTGGTCCACGAGTCTCCATCGCCATCAACTTTACCGGCGTTCTACTTCCGCACAAGTAAGTCGAAATGCGTTTTTCCAAGCGAACCTTCTCTATTCACTTTCTGCGCACGAAGAGGGTCGCTCTTTTAATATAAACGTACTTTCGTCAACATCAAAGAGATACATATTTTTTAGTAATTATTTCCAACTCTTTATTCCGACAGAACACGAAACACGAAAACGAAATTCCTCACGGTTATGACCCGTTACGTAAACTAGGTCATGGTTTAAAGTACATTCAAGTCGAGTTAGTTGTCAATCGTAAGGTTGTATATTTACTGTAATATCTTGCGAATGAAGGAGCCGAAGAGGAAACAGATTAAAGGCGAGATTGGGACCGTGTAAAGAGAGAAAAAGAGATATATATATATATATATATATTTAAATAGAAAGAGAGAGAGAGAGAGAGAGAGAGAGAAAGAGAAACATATCTCGCTTATTCCAAATGCAAAATTCCACGGTAAATTACAAAGTGGAGAAGAGGTAAGGAGAATGGTAGGAGTTTGAGGATGAGGTAGGTGGAGGATGAAAAGGAGGCAACGTGTCCTTGTTACTATCGCGTAGAGAAGGTCCATGATATACGTGCATTTTCACAGCTTTCTCTCGCTTATTCTACGTCTACTTGTTCAAGCGAGCGACTCGCCCAGCCACGTTCCGGCACTCGCTCCCTTAAAGCCCGACTCGAGCCTCCGCATACCACTACCGGTTGCTGTAGGCTGTTATGCGACAAATTAAAACTTCCCTGGAGCTAAACAAAGAGTACTGGCTCGGTTCTTTAGCGGTGTGCTTTCCTTTCTCGTTCGGACGACGACGTTACACACGTGTATCATGTCTAAACCTTTGTGTAAATGTTTGTGTACTATGGTGCCTATGTATACACGTAAAAGTTATCATCTATATGCGGTTATTACGGTACGGTAAAAGACGATACGAAGCTATGAAAAAGTGGAACCGAGAGAAAGGATGAAGGAAAAGGAAAGAAAAAGATGAAAAAAAGATAAACATTCACCTGTGACACTTTTGACCTAACCATCTTTCATATCTTAGTCGTATATTTAAGTGAGCTAACGAACGCCCCTTCCTTATCTCTGTCTTTTGCATCACGTTTATTATGCGTTCGCGTAAATATCTTTTTATAACATTGCATAATTTGGAACACTGCATCGTGCGACGAATGGATGGATGGATGGATGGATGGATGGATGCACGCTCGCGATCCACCAGTTTATACATAGAGTTTTTCTTCAAAGAGCATATAATTTTTATCTCTTGAATAATTTTTCCTAACTGCAGCATACAAAATGTATTTCGATAAAGCTCCCACGTTCTCCGTGGATCTCTGACAAGCCGATCAACCACATGCCGTCAACTTCGTTGTCATCGGAAAAATGAAAAAGAAAAAAGAAAGAGAAGGTATAGAAAAAAAAAAAAAAAAACAAAAAAACAAAAAATAAAGAAAAGAGAAGAAAGTTTTTCAACATACGTAAATATAATCAATATGTCTAATTGAAAGAGCGAAACGAAAGAAGGAAAAAAAAAGAATTGCGATATTGAAACGACGATAAAGCTATTACTACATCGACGAGATCGTAGAAAATGAATTTTAATTTGATAAAGTATCCTTCTATAATTTCGACAAAAATTATTTCTCACGAATGAAAGCACTTAAAAAAAAAAATATCTTCGTCCCTTTTCTTTCTTTCTTTCTTTCTTTCTTCCTTTCTTTCTTTCTTTTTCTTTTTTCTCTCTTTTTTTCTTTTTTCTTCTTTTTCCAAAGACTTAATCGCTCAAAAAATTTCACGACGATTGTCATCGTTCGATTTGTCATCTAAAAGGTAATCGTGAGAGATCGAAAAAAAAGAAAAGAAAAAAAAAAAAGGAAAAAATTTGAACGACAAAGAAATTTGAAGAATTTTAGAGCTTAGAAATGTCTCGCGATCGATCGACTATGCATTAGTTTTTTATCCCGTCCCTTTTGCCATTGTCTGAGCACACATACGCATACAAGTACACTTAGTGCGTGTTTAAACGAAAACACTCATAGACGAGTATGTAGATACATATTCACGAGGCTTAATAATTCGTCGCATTTCGCTCGCATGTCAACAACCTCCGAATGACTCTTCTTCTTCCTCTTCCATCTACTACTTCTCCTTCTCCTGTTACTCCTCTTTCTCCTCATCCTCATCCTCATCCTCATCCTCATCCTATTCCTACTCTTACTCCTACTCTTACGAGGCTGCATTTGTGAGACGCAAGAAATATCTCTAGAAAATATATATATATATATATATATATATATATATATTGTATGTATGAATATCACGATAAGATTCCGAGACGCATCAATTCTAAAATATGCAATCTTCGCCAGATCTCGATTTATTTCGTATGTGAAGCTTATCCCTTATGTAGATAAAAAAAAAAAAAAAAAAAAAAAGAAAGAAAGAAAAGCAAAATAAAAATAATAATAAAAAGAAAAATAAAAAGAAAAAGGAAAGAATAAAATATAAAACCTTATTGGTTTCTAATTCAACGATACAGATTCATTTGGGAATCATTTAATAGTACTCCTATAATAATGACTACTGCGAATGAGATTTTATATGTTTATAAGTTGAGAATAATTTGCCGACGGAAGGTTTGCATGTAATCAAGTACTTACGAAAGTACTCATGAAACCCTCACGAAACAGATCGGCTATATAATAATAATTGAAAATACATGAATATAGTGGTTTGATTGTATTTACTAGTTAATTGCTCTATTAACGAACGAATCAACGTAGTTAGAGCTCGAGAGAATAGAAATGATCGGATTTTCCATCTGGCAAAATTAGAAAAATAAAAGAAAGAGTATATAATAAATAAAAGAAACAATAAATAAATATTGTACTTATATATATATATATGTATATTATATATATATATATACTCGTAAAAAGAATGTATTCGTTCGAATTTAAGTTTTTATCGAGGTCATCTCTCTACTCCGATATTATCAAATTTCTTCGAGATTCGTGACATTTCAAATGTGAAATCTATCTGAAAGTATTACACG